TGAAAGTGTTTTGATCTTTTGAAGGTAAGCAATTATCCTCAGTGACATAAATAATTATCTACTTACAAGAATACATGTAAAATATGTAATCAAAAATATTAATATTTTTGTTTAAATGTTATTTTCTCCCTTTTTTCACAAGTTTAGTCCTTTAAAAACATTTTTACAGCTAACAGGGCTATAAATGACAATAAACAAAAACTAAATTATAATAATACTTGAGGGTTTTTATGGGGTTTTGTTTTTTCTTACACACTTTTTTTTTTTTCAAAACCTAATAAGCTGCTGCGTGGATTAACAATTAACTTACAGCATCTTGGACATTAGGGCCTTGTTAACATGCAAACCAGCCCACTGCGGCTTCTATATGTGTGGATAGCAATAATGAGGTACGAATGTGAGCACCATTATATCACCAATGCATAAAATAGTACTCTGCTGACGTCCTCCATTTTTCTTTCTTCTTCCCTATACTTTTAACATTTATACATGCAGTGTTGCAGCTCTCACTGTTCTTCTATTTGACATCTTAATAGTTTGTTGCTTGTAGCCATGTAGAGAATGTTAAATAAAGCTCTGATGTGTAATTTGTCGCCTCACAAACAGTCCTGCTCCCGGCCTACCCTGGAAGTTAATGCAACAGATTTGTCATACACAAGCCAGGCACAGCTTGAGGAGGAGGACAAAACACCTATTCAATCTGAATTTCAATCTCCATAGGGCTCTATGCAAATGCACACAAGCTGACGCTCCCGTTCCCTCAAAGTGCCAGAACACACTGATGGCAAATCCAAGCTGCATATTCTAGTGTATGCAGAAGCCCGGTCTGTGGCAGGTAAAAGGGACGGTGGAAAATGAGAATGAAGCAGGTATAACCTCACATTTCAGGAATGCATAAGTAGGCAAAACTAAAACCAAAATAAATGCAGATACTTGTCGCAGGTAAGGAAGCTAAAATCCATTTTGATCATTTTCTCCAGAAATCCCTCCACCCCTCCTTCCCTGTCTCTCATTGCTGTGCCCTTCAGCATAATGTGGATACAGAGCCTCTCTGAGGCTTTTTAGGGAATTGATGGATAATCAGATGATTACATAGAAAATCTCCATTGAGGACAATCCTCCCTGACAAACAAAGAGAAAGCTCTTTAGTTAATAAATAGGCTGAGAGACAGACAGAGGGAGTGTGTGATAGTGTGTGTGTGTGTGAGTGTGCGTGAGTGTGTGCACGACTAAGTAAATCCTGTCCTGAGCTGACAGCACAATGCCAACTCTCAGTCATATATTTATTTCATTCAATCTGCCGATGTATGCACGTGTGTGCATGTGTGCATATTGGCAAAGAAGCAACTTATTAAATTCATCACGGAGTTTGCCTTTAATGGTACCTGAAGTTGGGCACATCTAAATCATTTTAAGTTTCAGGCATGTTTGTAAAAGCCTTTTTAAAAATTTATGGTTTAGCTGTAAGTTGTTTTTTTTATTGAAAAGTTTGAAAGTCTCACTTAAATAATTTTCAAACTTCAGGCAGACTTTTAAAAACCTTTTTAAAAAACTTATGGCTGAATTTAGCTGTAAGATTTTTTGGGAAACTGCTTTAATTAAAAACAGCAAAAAAAAGTGATTAAAAAGATTTAAATGCATTTACAGGGTTCGTAGCGCACCCTACAGAAAGCCAGTCACCAACATTTCATTTAGTTTATAAGTGATTTGTCATATTTTAAACTGCTTATTATTCTCAAATCTTGGTACAGGTAAAAAAAAAAAACATGCCTGCAGAAACTGTCTAATAATAAATACACAACATAACCTTAAGCTTCTAAATTCAAACTATTTATCAAGTTTATCCAACATAAACAGAACCCATTCACTGATGGCCTACAGCAGAAGGAACAAGTTTGTGAACTGTTTGCAATTACCAAGACTTCTGAATCGATTATTCACAGAGCACTGTCTGACCTAAGTCACATGCATTGACAAACGCAGTCCAACCYAACAAATAATACAAAAAACAAATGTATTTTTTCAGGGTTTCTCTTTTACCGTGCAAGCTAAGTTATCAGTCACTGTGGCATCTAGCAGCGTGAACTCCTGCATTTATTAATTCATAGAGACAGCCATTTCAGCAAACAACCTTCAGCGAGCCTTTTCTGTAGCTGCTTTTGAGATTTGCACAACAATGAGGAGGACTTCTGGACCAATTTCCCCTCTAAAAGCTATTTCTGTTCAGCTGCATTCCTGGGATGTCTTGGTAATGTCAAACGGCCCTGTGCAGGTCAGACCACTGCAACTCTGTTGGGTTAAGGTTGGCACATCAAAAAAGTTTTTTCTTTTCGATTTCTTTTGTTTTGTTTCTGTGTGTTTTGTGTTATTTTCTTTTTGAATCAACAAACCTCAATAAATCCTCTGATTTCTTTGACAGTGCCCTCAATGATCACAAGAAGAAAACACCTTAAACCCATAAAGTCTTGTATTAAGCTTCACAGCTGGGAGACGATGTTGTTGGTGGGGAATGCACAACTTCTTTGGTCTGAAAAGGAGCTTTCAGACTCAAAATGTCATTTTTTCCATGTTCTGCATATTTATGATCCATGATCACTGGCTGCCCCAGCATGTTTACTGTTGTTTTCTTTCTAAACGCAAACAAAAAAAAACATAAACAAATGTTTTTTATTACTTTACCATTGTTATCTGGTTATTGTGGAAAATGGAAAAAGTAGAGTGTATCCCAAAATCTAATATTTTCATGGACATAATCATAAGCTTTTTAGACAAAGCTTAAACAATCCATAAATCAAAATGATAAATAAAACCTAAGAAATCAAGAGCAAAAAAAGAGTTATGAGCCATAAAGAATGTGAGTTTTAGTTTGTCCTCCTCTATTTATTTCATTGCCCAATAAATTCTAAATGTGAACTTTGTTGATGAAAAAACATTTAATCTAAAAAGTAAATGGTAAAATGTAGAACTAAAGGGAAGCAAAATGAGCTAAATTATACTTTAAACTGATTCTAAACAAGGATAGATAAAGTATTCTATTAGCAAAGCATTTTATTTATCATATTTCTTCATAAAGAGATAAAAAAATAAATTACAGCTTGTTTGTTGTAAAGTGTATATCTTTATCTGTGACTCAGGTGGAAATTGGCCACTTTATAAAAATAAATAAATCTGAGTAATTTACTCCATAATATATTTTTTGCTACTTTGGGCAGATGATGTAAGAGTTCCAGCTGTATGTGATGTTTACATGACTTTAAACCTGAGGTTGCGGTGCAGTCTGCAGGACTCAGACAGGACAGAATGTCTCAAATGGACGTGACATGACGACGAAGTACAGTGAAATTTCAATCTATCAAGGCCAAATGGTAAGAAGAAGGGATTTCCAGATGAGAGTAAACAGAAAACAATGGTCAGGTTTGCATTACGTTTGAGCCTTGATAAGCCATGGTTTTGCTAGGCCCAAGGCAGTACTTTGGCTTGGATAAAGCATAGTTGTTTATGCATGCCACCTTCTGCAGAAGTGCTGAAGTGACTGGCGCAGTCATTGTCATTTTAGATGCCACTGAAGGGCTCTGCCTAGTTCAACTGCTCTGCCAGCATTTTCTTTGGCACTGAACAGGTTTATGGCATCAGACACTCCAAAGCAAAAGGAGGGGAAAAAACAACAACTGGCAGCTGCCATCTAATTCTCTGGCAAAGAGAAATGTTTATAAGTTATTTTTCTGCTTTMATGTGACTTTTTATCTTGTTTAGTAAAACCTAATTTAGCAAGGCAACTTCTTTTGCTATCACAACATCAGCGTTGTCGTGTGTTGTATTGCACATGTGAGCTTTGCTCCAAATGTAATTTTTACAGAAGGATTGCAGACAGTTGTTTTTCTTTTTACACTATGTAAATTTTAATTTAAACTTCTGTAAACGGGGGAATTATATCATTATATTAGTTTAAACTGGTCTCCAGACAATATTTTTGTTTAACCCAATAATTTCTGAGACAATTTATTGTCCAGTAAAATTTGTTATCATGACAGGCCTATACACCAGTAGTTCCCAAGCCTATGGTCAGAAACCCACTGGGGTCTTGAAAAGCTTTTCAAAATAAATTACATTTCAACATGAAAATTTCAAAACATTTACTTAAAGTTACTGAAAACTGATTAAAGTAGAATAATAAATATATAGTTACAATGCCCATGTTTGTTAGACCTTATACCAATGTTTATCTCCCAGAAATAGGTGGAGGGGCACTGGTTTCTGCTGCTGTTATTTTGGGTCAAAAGCTGATAAGTTTAGGAACCATTGGTATAACCATCTGATAATGTGGGTTTTATTTCATCAGTATACCTTCTGCAGACCAGGGCTCCAACCTCAGACAGCAGATGCAAATAAACTTCCAACAATCGTGTTTGAAAATTGTGTATCTTCAAAATATTGTTTTGAGATGTCTCTCAAAGTAAATTATCCAAATAATTATCAACGATAATGGCTCTAAGGAACTATTTAAACTGGAAGACAATAAAATAAACTATTTGACAGTATTATGGTCATGTTTGTATAACATTTCGTATAAACTCATTATGTAGAAAAGAAAATATGTTTGACATGTTTTCGTGGAAAGCTTTGGCTCAGGTGCAGGTAGTCCAATGAGAAGGTCGGCGGTTCTACCTTAGCTGTGTAAAATATTCTATGATTGCGTGGATTAATCAGTCTTTGAAAGGTTTGAAGTACAAAACAGTTTATAATCGATCAAAATCCCCACAACTTTTCTAGAAATGTGGGAATTAAATTTTTTTTTTGAGATAAATAGTGTACTGTGAGAAAAACAGATGTCTCCTCTAGCCCATTAAAATGAGACATGTTTGTTTGGTTGATAAATGAGAGTCATTGTATTTGAATGATCTCCAACACCATTTGTAACAAGATTGATTTAGCACACAGCTCTCTGTAAAGGGCTTATCGTCACAGGAGTTGACAGGCAAAGTAAATTGAACAGTCTTTACCTGCATTGACTTCCAGTAACCTCCTCTTCTTCTGCTGTCTTTCCTGTTTTTCACGCTCAGCCTTCTCCTTCGCTGCTCGAGCTCTCTTCTGCTTCTCTTCTAACTCCCTGCGCCTGAAGTTTTCCTTCAGCGCTTGCTGTGAGAGGAGGAGAGAAGAAAGGATGAGAAGAGAGAAAGAGAAAACATGACAGATTGCTAAGTTGGGTTAATTACAGTGGTGTAGAGCCTGTCAAAGACAGAGTCAGCTGTCAAACTGCACACACATCTTTATCAGGCACTATTCAAGTCAGATGACGTGTCTAAGGTGCTCTGTCACTACGGTCCTGCCAGACAGAAAATGGCTTCACAGCAGGGACTTCAGACACTTGAGAGCCATAGTGTTGATGGAACCATAATCTCAAGGAATGGGTAGAGGCTGATATTTTCATAAGCATTTATGTCCATTTGCAGCTCATAAACAAAACAGCTGCTCRGCTTTATGATTACTTTTACTGTTTTGTGCTTTTTTTCATCTTCATAGCTAGAATCTTTTCACAGTCATTAAATTTTCAAAAATATATATTCCCACAGTCCCATATATGTCTTTGCTTATTCCAGCGTGTGTTGACATCAATAGGTTGTAGTCATTATTTCCTGGTGGCAAACAGACTATTGTGTGTTCTAGAGAGAAATTYTCTAAATAAACAGTTAAAAAGCAACTCTCCATAGTACAAATGGTGAGAGCTATATTATAAGACATAATAATAAAACCCCAGCATTGTTGTGCATATTCTACCTCCTGCTAATTCTTGAATGGACTGTAATTTCTTTGTAACCCATTTTCTTATTGTCCATTCATGATTATATTTTTGTTTTTCTAAAGTGAGCTGTTTGAGAGGAAAATTTCACCTCAGGGATAAAAAAAGAAGCAGTATCAGTCAGTCTATCTGTAAAGTTTCATTAAAATCTAACGGCTCGTGGGATATTTTGCWAACGATACAAACAAACAAATACACACATGGACACAGCAGGGGATAAAGATTCCCAAACATGAATCTAACATCAAAGTCACCGAATACTTTTTATTTTTAATTGGAAGAAAACAAAAAACAGATCGATTGTGAATGCTTTGTTTTTACACGTCTAGCATTACAAATAAATGTTTATGGATCTGGGTCTCCTAATTTTAGGACTGAAAGGAGATTTCTGCATGAAACACTTTCTGGCGCAACAAAACAAATATGTTTGGGGTTAGTGACATTTAAAATTATGCTACCCACAAGTAAACTTGTCATACCAGTAATTCCCATCCATCTTCCTGCGTAGAATAATTCTATGGGTATGATATCCATCGTACATCAACCACTGTGGAAACAGCCTCTATAATCTTTGTTGTTTAACTCATATGATGTCAATAGCTCAATAACGCCACAGTAAGAGACAGACTGCATAGGGCTTAATAGAGTGGTAGCACCACTGCCATCCTGATCAATAGCCTGTCACTGAAAGCAAGGAGGTCTGGGTTTTCATCAAACATCCAGCCCCTCCTTCTRAATTCCCCTCCCTGAGCTGCACTCACACAAGCCAGTCTGACTGGCAGGTCCATGAAAAAATAATAAAGCCCAAGCTACATTAAATTGCGTTAAAAAAATACATAAATACGCTGTGCTATACTGAGAACTGCAGTGGCACGCTAAAGAGGGGCAGTCACTTATTGAGGCCTACTGACAACCTCTTATTATGACTGAATGAAAGTGACCATTGTTGAAAATAATATAGACAACGTGAATTCTAAAGAGTTCAGCATGGTAGGTGTACCATCAACAAGCCACTTGAAATAAAGAGAAATGCTAACCTGAACATTGTGTGAATTACTAATAACAGGGAAATAAAGTATAGAGTGTTCACATTACAACTCTTGACCCGAACGTAAATCCTGTGTTTTGAAAAGGCGGTTTGAGTAAATCTGATACTGTATGATTCATTCAACATAAAAAAAAAAAAAAAATCCTATTTCCCTACATCATTTATAATCCATTAAAAGTTTGGGGCAGTGTATTATCAGTGTAAACATTGTTTTCTTCCTCTTTTACTGGTTTATACAACCCCACTCAGATGTTTAACAACTTTTTTATTTGTAGAAAAAGAACCTTAGATACCTGCCGAGAGTGGAAACCTATTTTAAATTAAAAGTAGAAGCAAAAATGAAAGCAACCTGTCAAAAAAGGCCAAAGTTTGTCACTAATATGAAGTGCAGCTTCTGGTTCTACCATGCAATATTTTAAAAGTTCAAAACATTATTAAATACAGTTGCAGATACAGCGATACTTTAATTTGCACTTTATCAAATAAATTTTTGTAATTTATTTTTAAACATTTTGAATGTATTTTAAAGAAAAACTTGCTTTTCAAAAAGCTGTTACTGTTGTTTGTCACTAATATGAAGAGCAGCTTCTGGTTCTACCATGCAAAAGTTTAAAAAGGCTAGATTTTCATTTGCACTTTATCAAAGTTATTTTTATAGGTTTTTAAAATTTGAAACATTTACATTGAACATTTTGAATGTATTTATTTTATGAGCACAATTTTATTTATTAAATTGTCTATGTTTGTTATTGTTTATGTTGAAAACATTTTTGTGTTGATAAGCCTGAGTAGTCTGTTGACTGACCGTTGTATTTGTTCAAATAATTGTTATGGGCAAGTTACAATATACAAATATTTGACATAATCATGTCTTGAAATTATTTGACAGGAGTTTTACTTTTAAACTGTAAGTGTTTTTAATTTAGTTATAATGCAAATACAATACAAATTAAACCAAGATTTAGAATAATTATTTTATTATTATTTTTTTAATAATAATTTTGATCCGTACATTGGTAATGTCTAACTGGGCCTCGTGCCACTTTATTTTCAACAAATTGGGCCCCGAGATCAAAAAGGTTGAGTTGTTGGTCTATGATGTGGGGTTGCTGCAGTTGGTCAGGTCCAGGTTCAGCAACAGCCTGTGCTCAAAGAATGAGGTCAGCTGACTACCTGAATATACTGAATGACCAGGTTATTCCATCTATGGATTGTTTCTTCCCTGATGGCAGGGCCATATTCCAATTCATTGGGCTCTTATTGTGAAAGAGTGGTTCAGGGAGCATGAGACATCATTTTCACACATGGATTGGCTCCACAGAGTCCATTGAGAATCTTTGGGATGTGATGGAGAAGGTCAGACTCTACCATCATCAATGTAAGATCTTGGTGAAAAATTAATGCAACACTGGATGGAAATAAATCTGGTGACGTTGTAGAAGCTTATCCAAACAATGCCACAGWGAATGTGTGATGTAATCAAACCTAAAGGCTGTCCAATAAAATATTAGAGGATGTGACCTTTGTTTTTTGGTGGCAACTTTTTTTTTGGGCCCCGGCAGTGTATTATTTTGCGGTGTGTGTAATGATATTAGGTTGCAACCTTTGGACGGTGGGTGTGAAGTCACCTGCTCATGACAGCTCGCAGGTGTGAGCGCAATAAAAATACAGCAATCAAGTTGTATTTCGCCCTCTCTTCTTTGCTCTCGGTGTCAGTGTGTCCAGCTACGTGCAAATGGTGGAGGCACACAAGCAGCCTGACTAAGCAGAGCAGGGACTTCAGACTGTTAAAGGAAAATCTACAGGGTGATTATAGATGCCTGCAGAGCTGAGTGGAGATGATATCTTCATTATGCTTTGGAACATAAAGGCCTGAGTACCCTGAGCAGTTTAATGGCTGTGAGATTTTAAAAATACTACATGAGGAGGTAAAATTTTTGTTTCTGCTGCTAAATTTGAATGTTTAGTTATAAAAAAGGTGAAATGTTCTAATTAGGCACTCAAGTAGAACAAGACACCAAATTCCCATGTGCTTAATTTCTTTCTTAAATTAACTGGTATTTTTAAAGATTAACATACTTTTGCCATTGACACACTTATATTGGATTATTGTCAATAAATAAATGACTGAGCACAATTTTAATCCTTTTTACATAACTATTTTCTTAATTGATGCTTTGAATTTACAGAAATTCTCTTTACTCCTCTTATAAGACGACAAGGGCTACAYATACTGTATTATATTCTATTTGCTATGAAGCACTTGTTATTTTTATAAAAAAGAAAATCCAAAACATGCTAAAAGATGAAATAAATGTGAGTTTTGTTATTTGACAGGACATTCATTTTCTCATTGAAATATTGAGATGAAGATGAGTTAAAAGGAGAGCAGCAGCTCTCTGAGGAAATCGCCCTCAGCTTTCCTTCATCAGTGTTGGTTGGCTTCACCCTCCTCCTCCTCTCCTGGATGTCCACCATTAGACACGCTCAATTGGATTTCTGTCAGATGTGCGGCCTCGCCCTGGGTCTCCTTTCCTATGGGTGACTGAACTTGCTGTATGTGTGCATGCCTTTGCGCGAGCGAATGAAAACAATGCAGCTTTTCCTATAAAAATGGCCAGGATGTGCACACAAAGCAATGTAAACCATACGTTAGGTGCAGTCAAAGGTTCTATTTTCTTCAGGCAGAGGGCAAAAAGATAGCGCAGAGCTATTAGCACAGGCCTTGACACAGCAGCGTATATGATGACACAGGTTTGACTGAGAGGTTACCGTGCTGAGATTTACTGTACGTCTGCGCTCACTGACCTGGCCTTGGCATTCCTCGAGACGTGTCTGTGTGATGTGACAATTTAAACGAATTGCTGAGCGAGTAAGCTGCTAACGCCTTGACCCACCACGAGGGAATATAGAGCTTCCGCTGGAGGTTTGCTCGTGAATAACAGGTCTTTGTAACACTTGGCCTGCTCACCTTTTACTGGCTCAGTCATTAACTGTCACATTTAGTCAAAACATGAAAGTAAAATTCAATGACAAGCAATGGAGCTAAACTGATAAGGGCTGCAGCTAAAATAAATATTTTTCTTCTTTTATCTGTAAAAACAGATTTTTTGGGGGAAACAGGTTTGTATAATTCACAGATATGTCCCACATGGTCAGGGCAGACCTGTTGGGAGCTTTTTAGGACATGCAAAGATCAGAGCAAAGAGAGGGTGAAGAATCAATATCAAACTGGGGAAACTAAAAACAGCAATAAAAGCAATGTTTCTGGGGATTTTTTTTTTTTATCACTTCTTGCAGCTGTGGAAAACTGTTAACTCTCATAGGACACCAACAACTATGAGATATGATATCTACTTAACAAAATGCAAGTCAGAAATTCACCATCACATAACAATCAATCAACAATTTTATCCAGTTCAAACTAAAAGTGGGGTACAGGGCCTTGTTAGATGATGGATGATGGCACTTTATATCTTTTGCTGTTCTATGATTTGTGGCTATGGATATTGTTCCTCAGCTAAATCACATTACTGCTAGTCCATTCAATAAACAGCCTAAAGAAACAGTGACCAACTAATAAGCTACAATCAGTGCTGAGGACTTGTGATAATATTGTCATAGTGTTTTTACTGGTTAAAAAACAGAAACTTATTAAAATTTCTGACACTGTTAATTTAAATCCATTGTTAGGCTTCGTGTCACATACAAAACATTTGGAAATGGGAGGAAACGGCCAAACAAACACAGCATCAGTCAGTGGTGCTAAGTGAAAATGTTAAGAGAAAAGAATATATATCAGGTGTTTTAAGAAAATGTGATATTTTCTGACTATAATAAATTGCCTTTTATGATAATGAATTTAAAAGCAGGACCAACTTTGACTTGCAGATAATATTTCAAATATAAATAATGAATGAATTCACTGAAAATTCTGGAGCAGAATTACTAAAATCTCACATGGTTAATAACTTAAAGTACAGAAAAAAATTAAAATGAGTCACTATGTAAGAACAAGATAAAAAGAGACAAAAAATAGTAAAATGGCATGAATTCCATTAGTGTCTGTGGGGTATACGCTGTTCTGTACAGGGTAAGAATTTTAGTGGGCTAATTAGGTATTAATATATGTCATGTCCACTGACCTATGCCACTAATCGTGCTGATTTAACACAGTGGGTCTCAGTAGCTCCAGAGCTCAGAGCAACATCATACTAATAAGGCTAAAGAGCTCAGCAGTGACATAAACGTCTGGATAAGAAACAGGCTAAATGGAGTTAGCACCGTTCTGCTTTGCATTAAACCATCTGGTGCTAATGTCAAAACAACAAATAAAACAAAGAATGAACCAACTAAACTGAAACTTAAAAAAAAAAGGAAAAATATCAACTGGTTTTGTAAATTACTTAACAGTATATTTGCCCATGCCAAACACATTGCTCTCAAACACTCTTCTTTTCTGGTATTTTAGTAGTGTGACAACAGTAAATATATTATTTCTCACCAAGTGAAACAGCACATTTTCAGATTAACACAATGTCCAAAATAAGGTTTTGTCCTGAATGAAGAAACCTGTTTCACAGCTAAAGGTTTGCTTTTGTCTTCAAGTAGGTTTTCTGGCTTTAGACAATTTTATTTAGGAGGAAGAGGCAAAAATGTCTCTTTTGACTGTAAGGTTTGCAGACCCCTGGGGTATTAGAACTAGCAAATATCAGTGCTACAAGTCTGTGTCGCTTTTATTGGACACAAGATGATAAAACTTGTTTCAAACATTTTTTTTCTTCCATGAATCCATCATTTTAACAATCAGAGGTGCAGTCACAGATACTCACAGCAAACATGGAGCGGAAGTTGCTGAGGTCGGTGAACAGCTCCTCCACGCAGGTCTTCTTGGGATCCACAGCGAAGTACTCCAGCACGTTCTGATAGAACGTCTCCATGTTGCTGTGCATGATCACCAGCTTGCTGTACTGTTCTCGTGCAACTTTGCTGAAGCTGTGAGGGTGCGTCAAGGTCAACAACACATCTGCCACAAATTCATTCATCGAATGCTGATGTAAGCACTCCTGACTTGATAAATAAAACAGGAGCATTGTCTCATGTTCTCACAGCAATGTGAAGCAGAAAATCAGTCAGATGTAAACTGTGATGTCGCCATTAGTAGCTTCGATGCAGTCTGTCAGGTTAGTTTTACAGTATGTTCACACCCCTGCAGCCTACAGCGTTTGTGTTCAGCTGCTGGCAAAGAATCTTAATATATCTCACATGCACAGTATAAACTGCTAACATAAACTCAAGCTAAAAAAAACAACAACACATTGTAATCTGTTAATAAGACATCCGATTTAAAGCAGTGCTGCCTACAGGCGGTGTGCATCAGTGATTTTACTTAAAGTTTGCATGATTCCAACATTCTTGCCAGTCAGCTTGTCAGTTTTAGGTGCAGCCTTACAGTGCAACACACCCTTGCAGATTAAAATGATTCAGGAACAGCAGGTAGGAGGAGGTCCTAAAAGAAACGCATGCACCCGTTAACGCAGAGAAATCTAATAAATTCTGCAGATTTTGAAATTGCATTCGTACAGTTGTCTGCACAAAATCTGGCTGGCATAAAGAAGCATTACTTCTGGCTGAGGCAAAACAAAAGCATAGCTCTGCCTCATTGGTGCGTTTGTGTGTGGAAGGAGACAAATGGTGTAATAGTTCTGTCAACATGTGCTGTAGAGGTGTCAGTGTGGGAGCGAGAGCACTGAAACACAACATGCCAACCACCGGGGCATACAGTGCTGTTCAGCAGGTCTGTCGCCGTGCACGACACTCACCTAATGCAAAAACGGAATGTTCAAAAACACATTTCCAAGAGCAAATACTGTTTCAAGACTTTGGCTGAGGAAGCAAACCTTATTGTGCTCCTATATTTGTTCTGCTCTGGTTTTATTTAAATTATCACCAGTTTTATACCAGACTTTTACACTAAATTCATATTATGTTGAGAAATGACAGTCAGAGCAATTTGGTTAAACCTTGAAAATAACACAATAACACAATCTAACGCAATTATTATATTAGGCCTGCAACAACTAATAAATAAAATCAATAAAAATTGATTAATAAAAGTGTTGGCAACAAATTTCATTATGGATTTGTTGTGTCTGGCAATTTCTGATGGTATTAATTTAATGATTAAGCTTTAAGTTTTTATTTGCTGACAATGTCTTAACCCAATTCTGCAAATAAAACAAGTATTTATTTATTCTTATAATAAGCAGCTGTCTTGATTGAAAGTCGTCTTAACATGATCGTCACTGACATGAGACTGTCCATGATCAAACATAAAGATTTTACTAGAATAGTTCACACTTTTATTTCAGGTTACACTCTGCCCTCGAGGACACATTTTACAAAAGATCATGGAGAGAAAATATGAAGACTTTCAAGGATATAGCACACATTTGTGTAGATATTTGTGTACATTCTTTTTTTTATACTGAGGCTATTTGACAAATATTTACTTATTTATACATTACAATTTAATATTATAGTTAAAAATATATCAAACGGCAACCTGTTTTTTGTGCAATTTGCTATGTCAGTCCAAATTTTATATTTTGGAATAAAGAGGTCAAATTTAAAAATGTTTATTTTGTGTTTGTTTTCCGATACATTGATTAATCAAAAATAAAATAGTCCAACGATTAATCGATCATTATAATAATTGTTAGTTGCAGCCCTAAATTATATCTCACATGATCTGTCTGTGGTTGAAGTGTTGTGAATGACTGTCAGCTTTTAACACAGCACATTTTAGTTCAATTTCCTGAGTTACAGATTTTTTTGTGTTTGTTAAAATCAGTTTGCCGTTGCGGCCATCTTGAATCAGGTTAACTAAAAATGTACGAGTCAATATATGTACATGTATTTGATTACCTTTTAAAACTTTCTATAAAATCTGTTCGGTGTTTAATTAGATAATGTGCCTTTGGTGGTGAACAATCAGCAAAATTTTAAAACATTGTCCCAACTGTTTCATTGTACCAAATAATGAATTTATAATAGTTAATTAAAAGTTGAAGTTTCTGCGGTGCAGTAAAAATGTCAATTGGTTTGATGTATTGAAAGAAAAACTACTAATAAATTTTATAGAAATGCACAAACAATACGGTTCATCTGAACCAACAGTCCTAATGACCAACATTACTGTCTCATGACTGATAAGAAGCAACACAGTGTGTGTGTGTGTGTGTGTGTGTGTGTGTTATAATACAAGTGTGTGGGCAGCATTCTGGCTCTTATTGTGCTCCTTCATTATAGCTCAATTGATGGACCTATTTGAGATTTGGCCTGGGTTGAGTCTGGCTGAGGATGAGACTACCTATTCACAGCTGGATAAATGCTGTTCAACAGGCACTCCTCCCAGACCGACTTGTCAGTAATATGTTTCCATGCCAGAATGTCGGGGAAAGGAGTATTAAGGAGGTCATAGTGGGAGGGAGAAAATAGCCAAGAGTTGTGGAGTGCAATATATTTTCCTTTTTTGTTCCCTATCTTATGACTGCTTCTCTATTCTAGTTCACTGCAGCTCAATCTCAAAACCTCCTTTCCCCTCAAGCTTTTCCCACTTACCCCCCACCCGCCCATTCCATCATACTTCAGTCTCCATTTCTTCATTTGTCCATCCTCCTGCTTCTCTCGTGTTCTGATCTGGCACCTTTACAAGCCTGGGCTCAGATTCAGAAGTGCAACACCGTAGACCAATAACTGTATACTCAAGTGGCGAACAAAGTGAAAATGAAATTTTCACCAATGTGATATTTCTAGCTTCTCACGCTTGGCTGGCGAGGTTGGATTTCACCAATAAAAATTACGACTATTGCAGGCAAACTACATCAGCTGCGGGTTCATCTTCAATCTATAAAACTGTAATGTGACCATCATTTTTTCAAGAAGCATCTTCACAAAAAAAGTGAGTCTTCTGCAAGAGAAATAAATAAAATAAAAACACCAGTAACTTAGACTGGAAATCTACAAAGGTGTTCAGAAATAACCCGAAGTTTCACATGAAAGATTTTTAAATGGTTTCATTATAAAAAAGATGAGCTTCCAGTGTTCCGTAGATTTTTAGTTATCCAGACTGAATCCAGACAGAATAATTCCTAGGAGTTTGAAATCAAAGTAAATGAACATCTTATTTATAGTTGAAGATATTCCTGCTCCCTCTGATTATAGGAGTAACATCCTTAATATGTTAGAACTACAGAAATGTCTTCAATTATGAAAAAAAAAATCTGGTTGCTTTGATTTAAAACTCAGAAATGAGATTCCAATACATTTTCTAAAGTCAACTCTTCTGTTTAAACACAGAATAAGGTCTTAAGCCCTGTCCACACAGGTACAGTATATTGCAAATATGCTCGCTCTCTCTCTCTCTCTCTCTCTCTCTCTCTCTCTCTCTCTCTCTCTCTCTC